GCGTCGCTCACTCATAGATATATATGCTGCTAGACTTCTACTGCTTGAACATATATGCAACACGCCGCGGTTTCTTGGAAGCAAAATGCTCAATAACGCGCTGATTAAAGTCATGCATCCCAGAAATAACGTCTCTGTGAATGAATAAAACAGCCAAGGAAGTTAATCTATCTTGCTTCATTGTGTTTCTGAGATACGTTTTAATACGCTTCAGCGTGCTTAATGTTCGCTCTGCGTCGGCGGAAGAAATAGGCGTAGTCAAAATGATGTCCAGAAATTTTGCAGACGCCGCAAAGGTAGTTACTAGAGTGTTATCTATGAGGAACCCATAGAGCGCGCAAGTTGATGTGATGTTCAAAAAAGTTTGATTGGTGTATATACATCTCAATTCATTTTGCAATTTACCCACGTTTATCATGGGGTAAAATTTGGAGACAGTAGCCAACAAATGGATGGGAAATTGACGTGAAAATTTTGAAAAATCTTTGGGGTTCATCAAAGAGAACGCGGCAAGGTGTTCAGTGCGCAGACGATCGCCTTTTTGATTCACCAGAATGTCACAGCATTCCTTTGCAGACAAAATCAAACGCTGCGTTGTTTGCCCGCGGCGTAAAGAAGCACTCCATGTGTCGTCGTATTTTATTGTTTCCCGGATACGAGATACAGCATCGCAGAAGTCTGAAATACACGACTGCACAGACGCTCCATTTTTTAGCCTTGACTGCAATGCGCCGTATAATACATCCACGTGATAGAATATTGTGAAGAAAAAAGCGAGAAAAAATGAAAACTCACCGTCTTCTAGCAGACGCTTTAGACCTGCCGCCTCCCTCACAGAGCGTTCGTCCCAAACCGGAGAGCTCTGAATGCCATTGAAACACTCAATGAGCTCAGACCTAATTTTGGACACGCTCTGCACCACGCGTGATTGAAAGTTCCAACGTGTTGGTGCACAAGCTGGGAGACGGCGGCTACATATCTGGCGAAGGAGGTCAGAGCGCTTCGGCGAAACGGAAAAAATTGAAGAAACCCCGAAACATTTGCAAAAAATATACGGACGAGAGGGGTATCAAGACACATATTTTTAATAACGAGGTTAAATTGGTGTGCATAACAATGTAAAAAATGCGCATGAGGAAAATCTTCTTTTATATAAACTTGAACATCATGTTTCGACCCACTCATGACTGCCGCGCCGTCAATTTTGACTTCGCGTTGTAAGGCTGTAACACTTCTTTCAGTACAGCCGATATCCCGCAAGCCGTGCGATCAAAGATTGGTACAAAGCTGTGAAATCTCTCGGTAGATTTACCATCTTTCACAAACCGAAAAATCACAGCCAGTTGGGAAACGCACGTGATGTCAGTTGTCTCGTCAGACTGAATCGAAAGGAACTGGCAATTCTCAATTTCCAGAGCCAAATGTTGTAAATAAATTTTATACATTGAGTCGAGCAAATCATTTTGGATATCCTTAGATGTCCCTTTCGAAACAGTTGCGGCATCAAGATGATCTCTCAATACTGTATCTAGGGATGCGGTGTATTCCACCATATCCAAAAATACCCTTCTATTAGATGAGCCAGCCCGTTCATCGTGCCCACGGAGGGACAGCTCGTGACAACCAATGAACTTCAAAACATCTATCAATCGACCGAGAACATGGCGGTTTTTCTCGACGTTTTGGTTGTGCCGACGAATAGAAACCTCGCGTCCTTCATCCAACTGTGCTGCAGTATTAACATTACCGAATGTTCGGTATTTTACTGCATTGTCCAGATGCTCCATAGAAGATTGATGATCCCTGGCACGCTCGGAAAGATGTTTAAGATCTCTAAAACCAAATTTACACCAACGTGAGTCACGGGCGGTAGCAAAAAGTAGGCAATAAAAACAAAAAAGTGCATTTTTGTCCTCGCTGTAACACAACCATTCGTGTTTTTTATACCAAGTTTCTGGGCAGAATGTACGCCGACGCTTTCCTCCGTCATGGGATTGTTCCAGTGAACAATTTTTTGGTTGATAAGGCCCAAGACGTTGTACCTCTAATTTTTGTTCCAGCGGCAGCTGCGAAAACGGAGTGCGAAGTAGTGCATCAACTTTATTCATTATGAGGTCTAAGGCTAAGAAATGCGAAGCCGGAAAGAAGTGAGGAGCTCAAAAGGAATGTGGAAAATCGAAAGCAAATGGACTAAAGGTCTCTAACTGATTCAAATAGCGAAACAAGCGACAAAAACAAAGGCGAGGAAACTATCAACTCTTCAAGCAACCAACGAACGAGAAGGAATGCGTGAATATGTCAACACGTTGTTGTAAGAAACGTCGGCATTGTGTCGTCATAATTTCGGGGCTAGCCCCGATCGGCCCCGATGATTTAGTAAAAGAAACAGAAAACAAACGAGACAAACCCGGCGAGTGGAAGATAAAAGAGAGAATACGATATACAATGAGCAACCGGGGCAAAATCGGCGTCGCCCCGTCGACGTTCGGCGAAGGCTTTGCGAGCAAAAAATGAACCATGTCGGGAGAATATGGCTAGTGTAAACAGTCTGTGCAACCGATATTGAGGTATTTTTTGAATATTTTATATTATACCGAAAAAACAACCGGGGCATTGCCCCGGTTGGCCCTATTGACGCGCCGCCACTGATTAAAAGTAATGTCCTGATAGGGCCAAATATTTCCTATTCATGGCTTGTCACTTCCTTATTTGTATTAGATGGAATATAAATGTTTTTATTAACACCCAAATCTATAAAATTTGGGCAATTATTACTCGAACTCCAAATAACTATTTGTCATTTAAGAACAGACAAAACCCTTGGTCGAGTTTCCCTTTTTTTTCCTCAAAGATACAAAATTCTAGAATTTATAACCGTTTTATAATAATAAGTAGTTTGTACTGTGAACCTATTTCAATTGGTGCGAACATGGTGGGAGCTGAATCTGATGAGCGCATGGTCGTATCGCTCCCTCCAGTCCATACCGAAGAAACGTTATTCCTATTACTTTATATTTATTATTATTATCATTGTATTTGTTTTTTTTGGTTGAGAAATAATAAATCTCTCTCTTTCTCTCAATACAAAAAATGAGTAATGTGGTACTTCAGGGTGAAGGAAGGCGCGAGACACCAACCCTGGTAATCGAGCAGCGACACCCATGACATAAGTCTACCAGTAATAGATAAATAACAATAATATATAAATTACACAAACAATAAATCTTAAAACAGGTTTACGTCAAAGTAAACCGAGGCGACCTGCATACCCAAAAGACGCCCGATCCAAGAAGAAACGCATAAGACTCCGAGCACCGTCTTGTGAGTGACCATGGGAACGGCAGAGAAAGCCTGTACATCGGAATGCATGACACTGCCTGAGTTGTGATTAATAGAATATGATTTTCATATTTATCCCGCGAGGGGAAGGCCATAACTTGGCATAGGCTAATTATATTCTAAAAAATAGTTTTATTTGTCGCAGTTAGGAATAGGAGATACATGTGGAAGTATAGTGGTAAAGTTCTTTGGTGCGGAAACGTTAAGAATATAGAGGACTTGCACGGGTCACGTGACTTTGTTACTGGACGGCAATAAAACAAAAACGTCCATTTGGCTTCTGTCAGTTGCAAGTCGGATTATACGTTTCTGTTTTGTTTGGCTGTTGAAAATGGTTATTTCGTATTGTTCCGTTGGCTGTACGTATAGTATAGACAACGAAATGGATCTTAAGTTATATTCCACTAATTTCAAAAGATCCGAAACGTCGCGCAATGTGGATATCATCTATTGCCTATTGGCAGAACTGCTTGGTGTCAAGTCCAGAAGCCATCGCACTTGTGTTTCACTGTTTGCGGACAGCACTTCGTTGATGGTGAGTGATAATGTGGTGATAGTGTGCCGTTATCAATTTCTTTAAATATTCACAAGCTCCCTCATTTCAATGGAAAGCAGATGACAAACTACTGTTATTAGTAGGCCTAGGCGTGGGCCTACTTGCAGTTGCAGACTTGACTTGTGTAAGACCGTAAGGAATTAATAATCAATTGCTATAAGGTATTGTTTCCCTAATTAGCAGGTAATCTATTACTAAGTGTGAAAGGTTGAATAGATAACTAAAGTTTAACACCATGGGGCCTGGAAAAAATAACCAGAATTCAATTGAATTTGCCATCTAGAAATAGGCTCGCCACCGTATCTCTGATCACCCTGGCAGTTTCACAGGTTTCAATCCCATGCGGGGATAGTTATGTGCGAGAGGACCTTTTTAGTCATTTACTACTGATACCTACCTTTTTAGTCACTGATACCTACCTTTTTAGTCATTTACTACTGATACCTACCTTTTTAGTCATTCACTACTGATACCTAACTTTTTAGTCATTTACTACTGATACCTACCTTTTTAGTCATTTACTACTGATACCTACCTTTTTAGTCATTTACTACGGATACCTACCTTTTTAGTCACTTACTACTGATACCTACCTTTTTAGTCACTTACTACTGAATTGTGATACAAAATAAAACCGGTAATTGCAAATGAGTTTATGGTGAAATTTTGCAGTTCACTACAAAAACAAATAATAATAAAAAAAATTACTGATTACAATATCTAATTTTGATCACAAGACAACGCGATTTGAAAATTACTTTATCTCTCAGTTCTTTGTACTTGACATTTTAGGAGTTTACTCGTGTCTGAGTTTTAACTATTTCGTGATGAGACCTGAGCCGTAGAAATATTTATTCCATTAGCAAAAATATTCAATTCTGACTGACCTAGTTGCAACAAAGTGGAAAATATCGGAGCATTACTTGTGTACAAACAATTCATGCGCAAACAACTGATTTTCCTCGTAAATAAATGAATTTGACGAATAATCGTGAAAGTTTAGATGAATGGTTGAAATGAAGTCAGATTGAGGGCAATCATTGTCTCGGGATTGATGTTTTCACACAAAATTAGAAATAGTTCATGAACAAGTTTAGAAGAAATCTTAATTTGGCGTAAATCGTTCCTTCTGGCACAAGACTCCGTGTCTGGTATACGAACGTGCGTAGTTGAACATTCCTTGGGAACTACTTGATGGATTTCTTACGCCTATCTCCATTCCAGTGTAAGATGCCGAAGATGAAGGATTTCCCGGGTAATAATTGGTGTATGGAGCAGTGGTTCCACTTGACAGTAAAGCTTTTTTCGTCTGTTGAAAATAAAGACACGTGATTATGAAATTTTGAGTCAGAAATTTTGAATATGGGCGCTTGGAAATCTATTTAATTTGTGAAGGGTCATATGATATACAATTGGAAAATGTAAAAAAATACCGTAACTTAAAATTGCGCAAAAACCTTTCAAGAGATGAAGGTATTTGAAGATACCTTGAAGTTTTAAAAAAATAACAAACTTTGGGCAAATTGTAAAATAGACATATGAAGTGGCATTAATTATATTCCTGAGTTAGAATAATTATGTAAAACTGTGAGGATCTATTAAGAATAAGCGTATAAAGTGGGATTTGTGTTATGTTCTTAGGAAAATGGTCAAAGTAAGCATATGAAGCGGGATTCATGGTATGTTCTGTTTTGAAAAGATATAAAACTTCGGGCAAATGGATAGATTGATCATAAAGTGGAGACTCAACACAAAACGCAATACCTTTCATAAATGACATTAACTTCATGTATAGCCATGATAAGTGGCGGCGCGTGGTCATTTTGACAACCGGGGCAAGCTACTGCGGGACCAAGTCACCCCCATCTACGGGGACAGGATGAGCGCTGTAAGTTCTTCCATCATTTTATGAGTATAAAAACCATTCCATCGGTAACAACCAATCGGCAAAAGCGACAAATTTTAACGATAAGAAAGTGTCTTTAAAACCGGTCCAAGTCAAGGGATTAATAAATATAGACATAGTTTATTTTGAAACCTCTTTCAAAAGGAAAGGCAATATTTACCCAGATAAATACAATGACATATTAACAGAAACTTCGGGAAAGCAGACAAAACCTAAAATAAGGTTTAAAACGTTACTATGAAGAAAGGAAAGGTAATGCAAAGATAAGGACATGCGTCGCTCACTCATAGATATATATGCTGCTAGACTTCTACTGCTTGAACATATATGCAACACGCCGCGGTTTCTTGGAAGCAAAATGCTCAATAACTCGCTGATTAAGATCATGCATCCCAGAAATAACGTCTCTGTGAATGGATAAAACAGCCAAGGAATTTAATCTATCTTGCTTCATTGTGTTTCTGAGATACGTTTTAATACGCTTCAGCGTGCTGAATGTTCGCTCTGCGTCGGCGGAAGAAATAAGCGTCGTCAAAATGATGTCCAGAAATTTTGCAGACGCCGCAAAGGTAGTTACTAGAGTGTTATCTATGAGGAACCCATAGAGCGCGCAAGTTGATGTGATGTTCAAAAAAGTTTGATTGGTGTATATACATCGCAATTCATTTTCCAATTTACCCACGTTTATCATGTGGTAAAATTTGGAGACAGTAGCCAACAAATGGATGGGAAATTGACGTGAAAATTTTGAAAAATTTTTGGGGTTCATCAAAGAGAACGCGGCAAGGTGTTCAGTGCGCAGACAATCGCCTATTTGATTCACCAGATTATCACAGCATTCCTTTGCAGACAAAATCAAACGCTGCGTTGTTTGCCCGCGGCGTAAAGAAGCACTCCATGTGTTGTCGTATTTTATTGTTTCCCGGATACGAGATACGGCATCGAAGAAGTCTGAATCACACGACTGCACAGACGCTCCATCCATTAGCCTTGACTGCAATGCGCCGTATAATACATCCACATGATAGAATATTGTGGAGAAAAAAGCGAGTAAAAATGAAAACTCACCACCTTCTAGCAGACGCTTTAGACCTGCCGCCTCCCTCACAGAGAGTTCGTCCCAAACCAGAGAGCTCTGAATGCCACTGAAACACTCAATGAGCTCAGACCTAATTTCGGACACGCCCTGCACCACGCGTGATTGGAAGTTCCAACGTGTTGGTGCACAAGCTGGGAGACGGCGGCTACATATCTGGCAAAGGAGGTCAGAGCGCTTCGGCGAAACGGAAAAAAATGAAGAAAACCCCGAAACATATGCAAAAAAATATACGGACGAGAGGGGTATCAAGACACATATTTTTAATAACGAGGTTAAATTGGTGTGCATAACAATGTAAAAAATGCGCATGGGAAAATCTTCTTTTATATAAACTTGAACACCATGTTTCGACCCACTCATGACTGCCGCGCCGACATAAGTTTGAGCTATCAATTTTGACTTCGCGTTGTAAGGCTGTAACACTTCTTTCAGTACAGCCGATATCCCGCAAGCCGTGCGATCAACGATTGGTACAAAGCTGTGAAATCTCTTGGTAGGTTTACCATCTTTCACAAACCGAAAAATCACAGCCAGTTGGGAAACGCACGTGATGTCAGTTGTCTCGTCAGACTGAATCGAAAGGAACTGGCAATTCTCAATTTCCAGAGCCAAATGTTGTAAATAAATTTTATACATTGAGTCGAACAAATCATTTTGGATATCCTTAGATGTCCCTTTCGAAACAGTTGCGGCATCAATATGATCTTTCAATACTGTATCTAGGGATGCGGTGTATTCCACCATATCCAAAAATACCCCTCTATTAGAAGAGCCAGCCCGTTCATCGTGCCCTCGGAAGGACAGCTCGTGACAACCAATGAATTTCATAACATCTATCAATCGACCGAGAAGATGGCGGTTTTTCTCGACGTTTTGGTTGTGCCGACGAATAGAAACCTCGCGTCCCTCATCCAACTGTGCTGCAATATTAACATTTCTGAATGTTCGGTATTTTACTGCATTGTCCAGATGCTCCATAGAAGATTGATGATCCCTGGCACGCTCGGAAAGATGTTTAAGATTTCTAAAACCAAATTTACACCAACGTGAGTCACGGGCGGTAGCAAAAAGTAGGCAATAAAACAAAAAAGTGCATTTTTGTCCTCGCTGTAACACAACCATTCGTGTTTTTTATACCAAGTTTCTGCGCAGAATGTACGCCGACGCTTTCCTCCGTCATGGGATTGTTCCAGTGAACAATTTTTTGGTTGATAAGGCCCAAGACGTTGTACCTCTAATTTTTGTTCCAGCGGCAGCTGCGAAAACGGAGTGCGAAGTAGTGCATCACCCTTATTCATTATGAGGTCTACGGCTAAGAAATGCGAAGCCGGAAAGAAGTGAGGAGCTCAAAAGGAATGTGGAAAATCGAAAGCAAATGGACTAAAGTTCTCTAACTGATTCAAATAGCGAAACAAGCGACAAAAACGAAGGCGAGGAAACTATCAACTCTTCAAGCAACCAACGAACGAGAAGGAATGCGTGAATATGTCAACACGTTGTTGTAAGAAACGTCGGCATTGTGTCGTCATAATTTCGGGGCAAGCCCCGATCGGCCCCGATGATTTAGTAAAAGAAACAGAAAAAAAACGAGACAAACGCGGCGAGTGGAAGATAAAAGAGAGAATACGATATACAATGAGCGACCGGGGCAAAATCGGCGTCGCCCTGTCGACGTTCGGCGAAGGCTTTGCGAGCGAAAAATGAACCATGTCGGGAGAATATGGCTAGTGTAGACAGTCTGTGCAACCGATATTGAAGTATTTTTCGAATATTTTTTATTATATCAAAAAACAACCGGGGCATTGCCCCGGTTGGCCCTATTGACGCGCAGCCACTGGCCATGATCTACATACCTGGTGAACGTATGTCATAGCAAGCCATATGGACGCGTATGAAGAAGACATCAGTGATCGAATATATTTGAGAACCAAATCGTAATGTTGAGAATCGATTATGTCTGCTGGTTTTCCCGATCTTTCCCCACACATTGCAACAGCTTGATCGTAGTTGACATCATATGCAGTGTGTAATGAAGCTATGTAACATTTCCCGAGATAGCTCACACCGTCACAAGATCCTGTGAAACATACGTAGAGGATTAAATCTAGATTTATGTATCCGGTGGTTACTAAAGCTTTTTGATCCAAACTTGGCCGCTGATATAAATGTAATGAGCTACAGTTATTTGAAATGACCTGGCCCGGCAAATTTATCACTCTCTGTGTGAGGGGGTAGCATGGGGCTCAAACTCGAGATAGGCAATCTGCGATGACTATACAGTCAAGTCTACGCTTTGACCATTGGCCATCGCACCATGATGAAAATTTTGCAAGCTTGATTCAGCAATAGCTGAAATGTTTGGGTAATTAAAAATAAATCCAATTCAATTTGGATTTCTTAATAACGCTGGTTTAATTCCAGATGGAAGTCTTAGTGCACTGGTTCTCAAATCTTTTCAAGTCGCGTCATCTTTTTAGAATTTATCAAGTCTCGGGTCCCACCTCAGACATACCTATCTAACAATAAGCTACAAATATCAGATAGTAAGGCGAAAGTATGTTTCACTAAAATCACGCTAAAAATACGTACAAAGAAATGTAAAAAATAAAAAAAAATGTGAATATCCGAAACAAATCAGATCGGGCAAAATACATTTTAACAAATAATTTTATTTCAATAGATTCATGCCCCCCCCCTCCCCCCGTCAAAAAAAACTATCTACATCCCCCCTGTGTGACGCGCACCACCGTTTGAGAACCACTGTCTAAGTGTGAATGCGAATCTTCATATTCATTTCATAGTTGTTTAGGAAATCTTGTTTGACTCGGATGATTCGCGACTTGTGGTTTAAGAACTCGTCCGGGCTGATTTGCGTATTGTTTGTCTGTTTTCACCTATTGCATTGTTCATGTTAGGGAGTCGAGATATCTGATTCATTGATATTACCTTGCAAAATTTTTTTCATCTAGTTTTTGAACGGCTTCTTCAAGTTTTGCCAGCATTCGTTCTTCTAGCTCTTCCATTCTTGACGCCACAGAATTTTCCACTAGGAAAAAATTAATTTGCTTTATTAATGAGGTGTTTCGCTTCGGACAAGGCTTCGAAAAACAACTACTACCAGTGAGCAATTGCGAAACGATAAATTTTCCTCTCGCCACAAGCAATATTCGCTCGAATGCAAAAACAAAAGCGCCATTTTCAGCATTTAAGACCGCGATACAAGGGAAATTCGATCTATGTTATTTTAATGCTGGGATAACAGAAGCCAAGGCGCTCAAACATGACGCACACGAAAAATTAATTTTATATCATAAATATTCCAAAAGGGTTTTAAACATGGATTGTAATTTAAACTAAATAAACCTACCAAATCTCTCAAATAGCTGTTCAACGGTTGCATTAACTTTTTGATAGTCGACAATTCCTGATTCGCCTTGTTGACCTTTAACCCCGTGCATTCCTATTTCACCTCTTTCACCTTTCGGGCCTCTTTTTCCAGGTAAACTTTGGAAACGACGAGAGTGGGCTGAACCACGACTGGGTATCGAATCGTTTTCGTCTTCAGCAAACACGTCGTCCACATTCTTGCATATCATATGCTGACTTTGTGCCGTCACAATGGTGGTAAACAAGTGACAAAGACAGACAAGAAGAAATAACAAACGACTCATGATGATACTTAGATTTTATAATCACTGGGGAAATAATAGAAATAGAATCTATGTAAGGTTGCAATAATAGTTGAAGCTATGGATTTGGCATTTGCTAGATTAGATGGTTATCATTTTTATCCCGGTGAGAGGTAAGCCAATACGACGGTTTAATTTAGTGTTGTATCACGCTCCCTTGCTCTCGACCACAGGTACTTTTATTTTACGAATTTAAGATGTATAAATTAGGTTTTGGAGATATCTCTTGTGACTACAGAAACACACGGAAGTATATAAGGAGAAAGGACCTGCAGTTCAATATACAATAACCAAGCACTTTCTGATTCAGATTAGTATTTTCCTTTTATCCGGAGAGAGAGAAACGTCGATAACACGTTTTAATTCTTTGTCAGTTCCTTTAACTACCTTGCGGAAGTATTTCGAACCAGCGAGTTTAAACAGGAAAAACAGGTATGGGCCTTCACCTAGGAGGTTTCCAAATTATTTGTAATTTGATCGTAACTGGATTATTTGTAATTTGTTATTTTAAAACGTCAAATCTCAAATTTTTGCAATAGTAGGGGCGGCTTTCTACAAAAATCTATTTCGACACTGACTTATGTTGAAACTAAATATCGATGAAATTTAAAAGATTTGCAACCGTGATCCATGACACGCAAGAGTGTTGCGACCCACCATCATTGAAAAAGAGTCAAAATTCGGGCTTTAGTGCCAGAATATGCAAGCCCATTGGTCTCGTTTAAGGTATTATCAATTTTTATACTATTTTCTGTATTATTAAATTTTACTTTATATTTAATTTTAGTTCTTGAAAATTTGGCCGTGGCAAGTGTCTGGAGATGAAAAAATGAAAGTCCTACCCAATTCTTACGCTAACGATTGCATTGCATACGTTTTTCGTATATAAATGGCCGGTTTAGAAGATGGCCGGAACCCAATTTAGACAATGGGGGCCCTTGATTATGCATTTTTGAGGGCGTGTTAAATAGGACGTCACAACACATCATTTAATATGGCGCCAGAATAGGTCAAGTAAAAAATATTATGACGTTGTAAATAAATTTTGAATTTCCCATGAGGCGCAGTTTGAACAATTTTTTTTCATAAAAATCGACCATGCGTTTTATAAGCCGGTGCGTCTGATTTATGGATCAGATCAGCCTTATCTATTCACAAAACCCTAATCTAAGCAATTTATTGACACCAAGCCTCATAACCTGTTTTGTCTTATGGTCTGTAAAATACATGTAAGTTGAATTTGAAAACAATCAAAAAACTCCCAATACCATAGCATCAATAAACTCGGCGTAATTTTTTACAATGCTTTGCTGTCGAAGTTATACGAGCACCATATTAATGCTAAATACAATTAACATTTTATTTTTGAAATGAACGGGTCTACGATAAAAAATGTACCAAAGAATAAAAATATATTATATGTTTTTATAATGCGTGCCTAAGTATGAAATACATAATGGTAAAAACTAAAGAATATTGGTAATACCACACGCACCACACTTCAACAACACTGGAATTCCTTCACGCGGAGGAATTTCTCCTCCTAACATAGTTAAAGCATAACCATGTCCGGACCGAACGCACAACCATGTATGATTCTAATTTGAAGGTTAATATCGGTTATATGTCTGTCGTTCACACAAAATTCTTTAGCATCGCCTGAAACTATCAATCGTAATAACAGAATTTAATAGTCAAATCAGTAAACCAATGTTTTTCCCAAATCTCACATTTTGCGTTAACGGCGGGGGCTGTTTACAAAAGATCCAGGCCTAGTTTTTATCGAAAGGCGCGAATAAGCGTCGTGTGAAAATGTCAAAAAGTTTCAAATTTGATCACTTGTGGTGTAGACGCATGGCGTGCTTTAACTTACTTATTTAATCCGGGAGAAAGGGTAAGCCAATAAGCCATATCGTGTGGCGAACCACAGCCTCTCGTCGGTTACCAGTCCATGTCGGGTATGGGTTTTGTTAGCTATTTATAATGATTTATGTTCTTTTGGGGGCGAGGCCCATTTTTCGACGCCCATTCGGTTCATTCGTTCTGAACAAGACCAGGTACAAGCACCACTAATATCTAACAATATCTCCCCTGTCTTGCTTTGCTGTTGAAGTGCTTCAAGTGCCCAATTACTGATAAATACAATTAGCATTTCATTTTTTCAATAAACAGGTCTACGATGAAAAAAATATTCGAAATAGTGAAATTTAATTTATGTTTTCATAATGTGTGCATGAGTATGTATTGCATGATGGTTAAAAGTAAAGAATATTGGTAATACCACACTCTAATACATAGCAAAAATACTTTTCAAAAACACTAAAATTTTCTAATGCGGAGACTTGCGGAAACGATGATTAATACTCACGGAAATAATGAAAATATAAAAACTCAAGGCGCACTTACACGAAAAAAACGTTAGGCTTGAGTGACAGCTGACCACACCCAACACACGCAAGTCTTCGACTATTCTTTTGCCTTCAAGTGCGACAGGTTGCCGGATCATTACCGGTATTATTGATTTTATAACATTTTTCTACTACTTTCTGTATTATTAAATTTAGCTTTATTTTAGTTCTTGAATCATTTGGCCGTGACAAGGGGGTCGTGGTGAAAAAAGTTTAAAGTCCTACGCTATTGTCACGCTAACGGTTGCATTACATATTTTTTTCCGTAAATAAATGGCCGGTTTTATGGGTTTGCAGAGTCGGATTTAGACGGCGAGCGGCCTCGATTATGCATTTTTGTCAGCCTTCTTCAAAAAAGGGGTCAAAAGAATTCATTATGGCGCCACAACAGGTCATGTAAAAAGTATTATGAGGTTGTGAATCAATTTTAAATTGCTTGAAATGTAAAATTTCAGCTACGAGCAAAGGTAGTGCTTTATGCTAACCGCTGTTTCACGTTTTGTTTGAATAAAATACAAAAACCATGTATGTTCAATGAGCTTTGTACGGTAACTCAATTGCGTCTTAGAAACCTTTGCGCCTTATGTATAGACAAGACCCCAATTTTAGCATTTTATTGAAACGGCGCATTATAAGATACGGTAAATTGAATTTTATAACAATTTAAGAAACTCTCGACTCTAATAAAATGCCATAGCATCAACAAACTTGTCATAATACCCGTTTCTAGTCGTGAGAGAAGGGATAGGGACATGGTCCAATCACCAACAAAGGTTTTCCTATTTATTAAATAAACGGGTCGATCTGTAAAAGTAAAATTTTCAATAATTCTTGAATTTGTAGTTGCCTAAACGTGGTGTATTGATATTTTCTAATTTTTCAAAAACTAAGGGATTATTACGGTAAAAACTGTTCAAATGATAATGATGTAAAAATTTATTCTAATCGATAAATTACAATAGGTACTAGCAAAGAATAAG